AAAAAAAAAAAAAAAAAAGACTTGAAGACTGAAATAAAGGTACTAAAACACAAACCAAGGGAATTCTAGATATGGAAAATCTGGGTAAATGATGAGGAACTACAGAGACAAGTATAACCATCAGAATACAAGAGATAGAAGAAAGAATCTCAGGTGCTGAAGATACTATAGAAGGAATAGACTCATTGGTCAAAGAAAACATTAAATCCAACAAATTCTTAACACAAAACATCCAAGAAATCTGGGACACCATGAAAAGATCAAACCTAAGAATAATAGGTGTAGAAGAGGGAGAAGAACTCCAGCTCAAAGGCACAAAAAATGTATTCAACAAAATCATAGAAGAAAACTTTCCCAACCTAAAGAAGAATATCCCTATGAAAGCACAAGAAGCTTACAGAACACCAAATAGACCGGATCAAAAAACAAAAGCATCCCCTCACCATATAATAATCAAAACACAAACATATAGAATGAAGAAAGAAAATTGTGAGCTGCAAAGGAAAACGGTCAAGTAATATATAAAGGTAAAACCATCAGAATTGCACCCAGCTTCTCAATGGAAACCATGAAAGACAGAAGGTCCTGATAAGACATGCTGCAGATACTAAGAGACCATGGATGCAAGCCCAGACTACTACACCCAGCAAAGTTTTCTATCACCATCAATGGAGAAAACAAGATATTACATGACAAAAACAGATTTAAACAATATGTATCCACAAACCCAGCCTTACAGAAAGTACTATAAGAAAAACCCCAACCCAAGGAAGCTAACTATACCCACAAAACCACAGGCATCTGATAGTCCTCCACCAGCACTACCCAAAGAAGGGAAACACACGAACACTACTACCAAAAAAATCTGGAATTAACAACTACTGGTCATTAATATTGCTTAATATCAACAGACTCAATTTACCTATAAAAAGACACAGGCTAAGAGAATGGATATGAAAGCAGGATCCAGCCTTCTGCTGTATACAAGAAACACACCTCAACCTCAAAGACAAACACTACTTCAGAGTAAAGGGTTGGGAAAAGGTTTTCCAATCAAATGGACCTAAAAAACAAGTGGGTATAGCTATTCTAATATCTAACAAAATTGATCTCAAACTAAAATCAGTCATAAGAGATGGAGAAGAACACTTTATACTCATAACAGGAACAATTCATCAAGATGCAGTCTCAATCCTGAGCATCTATGCCCCTAATAAAAGAGCACCCACATAAGTAAAAGAAACATTACTAAAACTTAAATCACACATCAAATCCCACACAATAATAGTAGGAAACTTCAACACTCCACTTTCATGAATGGGCAGGTCAACCAGATAGAAAGTTAACAGACAAATAAGAGAAATGAATCAAATGGACTTAACAGACATCTATAGAACATTCTACCCAAACACAAAAAAAATACACTTTTTTTCTCAGCACCTCATGGAACCGTCTCTAAAACGGTTCACATACTCAGTAACAGAGCAAACCTCCACAGATATAAAAAAAAATTGGAGTAACCCCCTGTGTCTTATTGGATCACCATGGATTAAACTTAGAATTTAACAACAATATTACTCTCAGAAATCCTACAAACTCATGGAAATGGAGCAGTGAACTATTGAACCACCCTTGGGTCAAGGAAAAAATAAAGAAATTAAAGTCTTCCTTGAATTCAATGAAAATGAAGGCACAGCATAGCCAAACCTATGGGACACCATGAAAGCAGTGCTAAGAGGAAAGTTCACAGCACTAAGTGCCCACATAAAGAAAACAGAGAAAGCTCACATTAGTGACTTAACAGCACACCTGAAAGCTCTAGAACAAAAAGAAACAGATAAATACCATATACCAAAGTTAAACCAGGACCAGGTGAACAACCTAAATAGACCTGTTAGTCGCGAAGAACTAGAAGCTGTTATCAAAAACCTCCCTACCAAAAAAAGCCCAGGACCTGATGGTTTCAATGCGGAATTCTACCAGAACGTCCAAGAAGAGCTAATACCTATACTCCTTAATGTATTTCACAATATAGAAGCAGAAGAGTCATTGCCAAACTCTTTTTATGAGGCTACAGCTACCCTGATACCAAAACCACAGAAAGACTCAACCAAGAAAGAGAATTACAAATCAATCTCTCTTATGAACATGGATGCAAAAATAAAATACTGGCAAACCGAACCCAAGAACACATCAAAAAATCATCCACCATGATTAAGTCAGCTTCATCCCAGAGATGCAGGGCTGGTTCAAAATATGAAAATCTATCAATGTAATCCATCATATAAATAAACTGAAAGAAAAAAAACGTGATCATTTCATTAGATGCTGAAAAAGCATTTGACAAAATTCAACACCCTTTCATGATAAAGGTCTTGGAGAGATCAGAAAAACAAGGAACATATCTAAATATAATAAAAGCAATATACAGCAAGCTGATAGCCAACATCAAATTAAATGGGGAGAAACTCAAAGAGATTCCACTAAAATCAGGAACCAGACAAGGCTGTCCACTCTGTCCATATCTCTTCAACATAGTTCTTGAAGTTTCAGCAATAGCAATAAGACAACAAAAGGAGATCAAGGGGATTCAAACTGGAAAGGAAGAAGTCACACTTTCATTATTTGCAGATGACATGATAGTGTACATAAGTGACCCCAAAAACTCTACCAGAGAACTCCTACAGCTGATGAATACTTTCAGTGATGTGGCAGGATACAAGATCAACTCAGAAAAAATCAGTAGCTCTCCTATACACAAATGATAAAGAAGCTGAGAGGGAAATCAGAGAAACATCACCTCTCACAAAATAGCCACAAATAACATAAAGTATATTGGGGTAACTCTAACCAAAGAAGTGAAAGACCTATTTGACAAGAATTTAAAGTCTTTGAAGAAAGAAATTCCACGTATCCTCAGATGACCCACCCGTGGGTGGGAGGGAATGTGGATAGAGCCTGGCTGAGTCACAGAGCATTTAGATAAAATGGCGCAGTTCCCCAAGGGGTACAGCTGGCCATGAGGGGCAGGTGGGTCCCACAAGGAGCTGTGGCGGGTGAGAGACAGATAGGCACACCATGCAGAGTGAGTTTGGATATAGTTTACTCAGTAAAAGGAAAAGGGGAGAGAAAAAGAGAGAGGGGGAAAGGGGGGAGGAGAAAAGGCCTGAGCCACCTCTTCTGAAGAGACAGGGCAAAGAGAGAGCACAGGCTGGAAGCAGAAGGAAGATCAGCTTGCCTTGGTGGAAGGGGGCAGTGGGCAGGGCTTGTCTCTTAAAGGGACAGGACAGACCATTACACATGGGATGGCTAGCACTGAGTGATGGAAATGATAGCAGTCACCACACGTGAGGAACTGTATCAAAGGTCTCAGCATTAGGAAAGTTGAGAACCACTGCTCTAAAACAAGAAAAGCAAATTTCTGGAGCTTAAGTCACCCTGTCCATAGGACATTGTTATAGAAATTCTAACAACTAATATGTGCAAAAGCTAATACTAGATCAATAAGGACAGGAAGAGTTGTCATTTTGTTTATTGATACACAATAAACACCTACTACGCTGTCCAGCAGAGAGTAGAACTTCAATAAACATTGTCGAAGGGAACTTAAAAACCAAATAGTTATAGTGCCCCTTGGACAAACCTATTAAATAACAACAATGCAATGTCCCCCACCATAAGCTCCTAAAGCTGAACTCCTGATATCTTACCACATACTGTGAGGTAATGGATCTGTTGCCACACCCCAAATGAACAAAATCCTCTACGATGACTCACGTCCTGGAACAATTTCCTGAAAAAAAAAAAAAGAAAAGACAAAAAGTCTTACTGTTTTATAGTAAATTATAATATACACACCCAAAGAAACATACCAGATTTGCCAAGCTGGACAGTGAAGAGTCCAGAAATAGAATGTAGAAATAAAGTGACCAGTCCAGGAATATAGTAATATAAAGTTGTAAGCCCGAACACATTTTGGGAGAAAAATAAATAAATAATGTTGACAACCAGTGTTAACCTTTAGCAAACACTTTCTGCCTTAAGAGCAGACATCCTGGCAGCCACGTAGACAGAGGTAAACTTTTAACAATTGTCTCCTGCCTCCCAGCTTCCCAGCCAGGCAGGTACCGCAGACAAAGGTTAGCTTCTAACTATTGCCTCTATGGGACCCTCTGCTTGTTTCCCCTAATTTTTAACTGTCCCCTATCTGACTCTACTGTCTGCCTTGCATCCTTCAGGGACAGTGAAAAGTGGCTGTGTCAGCCACAGGCTTTCACAAGCATGCTAGTTAACAGTCTAATGTCCTTCAACCAAAAGCTGTAAAACTTAAAATGCAATGTGACTTTAAGCCTGGCCTCAGGGATGTAAAAGCTCTTTGGCCCACACCTGGTGCTTGATTTTACTATAAGAGGAGGTCCAAAACCAGCCCTCATTGCCACAGCTACAGAAACCCATTCTCTGGCTGTGGTCACAGCTATAGCTGATAATCTTTGTGTGCTCATAGAGATTTTTTTCTTTCTTTTTCCATAATAAAGCTTGCTTCTGGTTTAACAGGCTTTGGTAGTCTGTTCTCTGCCCCCATCGTTGCGCCGCAACCCCTGGACCCAACAGATTGGCACAAACACAAGGCTTGTCTTTTTTGTTTCTGCAAGTGTTTGGTTGGCTGACGTCATTAAAGGCTGCAAGAACAGCCTGGACTGGTCGTTTAAAGTAGGAGATAATTACGAACTTCCCTGTTCTTACTGAAGCATTTCTAATGAGTACAGGAAAAAGACTGATTAAATTTCCTTAGGACTCATTCACTTAGAGACTCATAGCACATCTTGAGCCCCATCTCCACGTCCTAATGTTACCATCATCATCATCAATCAGTATTTAATTTGGTGACCTGAAATGCTAAGCAAATGCCAACAACATATGAGAAAAAGCAATAAAAAAACCCATATATTATGCTTTTTAGCTACAAATACCCTTTTCTTTTTTTGTGGAGCTGGCGAGGGGAGAGGAGGAGACAGACACAATCTGATAGTGAATCGTGATGGCTGCCAGCATGTCTACTGAAAAAGAATACACTTTTTAAACTCTTCAGTGGCGTGTAGGATAGATGGGAGAAAGGAGGCTCGTGAGCTGGGGTGTGGACCTTGACAGTAGGCACCAGTCCTGTGTTAATAGAAGGGTGGAAAGTTCCTCCTGCCAAAGATAAGAATTTGTCTCCCTTTTTTAGCAAGCAGGAAATTTCTTCAGGTCCCTGAGGGAATGTGGATTGCCTGAATGCCTGACCTTGTAAAAGGACTTTCTTGGGGGATCAAACCTAGAATATTGCAGGTTCTTGTATTACTTAGTTTATCCAAATAGCTAGAGCTGAAAAGTGAGCAAAGACAAAGCTAGACCAATGCTGTCGGCAGCTCCAGTTAATCCTTGCTCTCTGGGAAGTTGCATTCCTGTCTCCTTCTCCAACCCCAGACACTCAGAGTCTCCAAACAAAGGGAAGGCACCAAAAGCCCAGTTCTATTTTCTTGGTGGCTACAGCAGCTTCCTTCCCTGGAGTGGCCAGCTGCCTCCATCCCCGCTTAAGCATTCAGCTTTTGACCATTCTTGGGCACAAACCCAACTTGTGGCAGACACATCATCACCCCTCACCTATAACCTATATAATCCCCTTGCTTTACTTCAGGTGGGCAGCTTCTCCAGCCTTGATTTCTGTGACTGAAGAACTCACTCAGGAGTTGCTTTGTTCAAATAAACCTGTCAAGACACTGAAAGACCTCACGAGCTGGGAGACTCTCACACAAGTCTCGGGATAACACAACCCCCCAGGAACTCATGAGAGACTGTCCTTGCTGCAATCACATGAGGTTTATTGACAGGACAGGAACCAGTGCACTGGGGCCGAAACTCATTTCCCACGCAGGGGTAGAGAGTTTGATCCTGAGTAGTGGGAGAAGGGGTAGAGAGTTCAATCCCGAGTAGTGGGAGAAGGGGTATTTAAGGGAAGAAACCACAACCCAGTAATCCAAAGAGGGTAGGGAGGGCGTCACTGGAAAATTCCAAAAATACCAGTGATCACCACAAGGGGGTAACTTGTGTTTTTCAAGATTATAATCTAACTTTATCTTCAACTAGTTCTTAAAACAGAGTCACTGAACCAGCTAAAATGGATTTTTGGCTCTATTTTTTTCTGCTAGAGGGATCTGGATTTTCCAGGCCTTTCTGGAAGTACAGGGAAACACTTCCTAAATATAACTCCAGCAACACAGACACTGAGAGAAACAATTAACAAATGGGACTTCCTGAAACTGAAAAGCTTTTGTAAAGCAAAGGACATGGTCAACAAGACAAAACGACAGCCTACAGAATGGGAAAAGATCTTCACTAACCCCACATCAGACAGAGGTCTGATCTCCAAAATATATAAAGAACTCAAGAAATTGGACACCAAAAGAGCACATAATCCAGTAAAAAAAAATGGAGTACATACCTAAACAGAGAACTCTCAACATAGGAATCTAAAATGACTGAAAGACACTTAAGGAAATGTTCAGCATCCTTAGTCATCAGAGAAATGCAAATCAAAACAACTCTGAGATTCCATCTTACACCTGTAAGAATGACCAAGATCAACAACACTGATGAGGTTGTGGGGAAAAGGGAACACTTCTGCATTGCTGGTGGGAATGCAAGCTGGTACAGCCTCTTTGGATGTCAGTGTGGCAATTTCTCAGAAAATTAGGAAACAACTTTCCTCAAGACCCAGTAATATCACTTTTGGGTATATATCCAAAGGATGCTCAATCGTGCCACAAGGACATGTGCTCAACTATGTTCATAGCCGCTTTGTTTGTCATAGCCAGAACCTGGAAACAACCTAAATGTCCCTCAACCAAAGAATGGCTAAGGAAAATGTGGTACATTTACACACTGGAGTACTACACAGCAGAAAAAAATAATGACTTCTTGAATTTCACAGGAAATGGATGGAGCTAGAAAACATTATTTTGAGTAAGGTAACTCAGACCCAGAAAGACAATTATCACGTGTGCTCACTCATAGGTGGTTTTTAAACATAAAGCAAAGAAAGCCAGCCTACAAATCATAATACCAGAGAACTTAGACAACAATGAGGTCACTAAGAGAGACTTACATAGATCTAATCTACATGGGAAGTAGAAAGTAGAAAAAGACAAGATCTCCAGAGTAAATTGGGAGCATGGGGACCTTGGGGGAGGACTGAGGGGAGAGAGGAGAGGCATTGAGGGGAGCAGAGAAAAATGCAGAGCTCAATAGATATCAATAAGAAAATTTAAAAACCATGAATTTAAAAAAGGGATTGTAGATAAGGCCTTCTTAGAAACAATGTTTTTTCTAGATATAATCCAAAAGGAAGGCCCCAGCTTTCTAAAGTATGCAGAACATGTGGCAAAGGTTGACACTGGACCAATGAATGCAAACCAACAAGGGCAGACGAAAACATGCCTTAGGGGGCCTCTTGAAGGCCCCAATGTCATATGTGGTTCAATCATTCCCTGTCAGCACGAGGGAACTCCTCCACAGAGGACCTAATACCCATTGTTAAAACCATACTGCTCTGGAGTGACTTTAACAGATAGAACAAAATTTTCAGGAGAGACCAAACTTCTATAAATGACCAAAGACCAAAGCGAAAATATGGATAAATGGAATTATAATTGAAAGTTTAATTGACACAGGCATGGTTGTAACAATAATTTCACCAAAATCTTGGCATCCAGATTGGCCTCTTCAGAAGGTAAATGTCCAACTTCTTGGGATTGGAATTTTATCTCGGGTTAAACAAAGTGCAAGAATATAAAAATTAAAACCATATATGGCTAACATAGCAATGAATCTCTGGGGATGTGATTAGTTGCAGCAATGGAAAACACATCTTAACGTATTCAGGATTTCAATGGGCAATTGCTCTAAGTTGGTTGTGTAATTACACATTTATTAGAAGCTGTGGACATCATGGGGGATACCTATACAAATTAAGACTGACAATGCTCCAGCATATGTCTCTAGTAAAATGAAACACTTTTTAATATATTGCATTATAAAGCATATCACAAGTATACCTATAGAACCAGCAATTATAGAAATATCTAATCATACCATAAAAATATGCCTAATAAACAGAAAAGTGTAATAAAGACCCTCAGAGACAGATTGCACAATGAGTTATTAAATTTAAATTGTTTAAATGCTAATGAGAAAGGAATGACAGTTGTGGAAAGACATTGGATAAGAGAAAAAAATGGATGAATTAAATCAGTCTGTATAATTTAAAGATGTGTTGACATCAGAATGGAAACCAGAATATGTGTTATGTTGGGGAAGAGATTTTGTTTTTGTTTCCACAAGAAAAGAAAAGTTATGAATACCATCAAGATTGTTTCAAGATTAAAGATTTGATTTAAACAGAAGAGACCTCTTGGTTAGGAGAGGCAGTAGTTCATCTAACTTCATGACCATTCAATCTGAATTAACTTAAAAGACTAACAAATTTCTTTCATTTGATCCAATGTAACCTGTTCAAAAAAGGAAAGAAAAACTCCCCAAAGTTAGGATTAATGCATGATTTTATTTTTGTCTTTCTAAGAGAATAAAAAAAAGCATCTAAGGAATCTGAAAACCACTGGAGAAATAAAACATCTGAAGAAGGGAGAATCATCCACAGAAAATGTCCCCAGAAAAGGAGTAAATTGGCCTAATGGTATTCTAACAAGATAAAAGTTCATAAATCTATCAAAACATTTGTTTCTACAGTTCTCCATAGACATGCTAGGCAGATGGTCTTTATGTAGTCCCAACTCAATTCGAAATTAAAGCTATAGAGTGGCTGTCTTCTTTCTTACACCCAAGAAAGCCAAAGTCCCTGTCTTGTGTCAGAAGAGCCACCTGCTATGGGACACAAGAAAACCTAACTTTAAGGACTAGTCTCTTGCCACTAATCTCAAATCCCTCAGATTTATTTTGATGCTTTCAAACTTTTCTTAAGGTATAAATATTATCTCAAAATTTATAAGACTAATATATGTATATATGTTTAAGCTTTCTGTTGTGTTTTCATGGTCATATAGAGTACTAACTAATTCTAGATTTAGTCTTCATCTAGCTTTCTATATGCAATTTCAAGCTTGAGGCTGAAGCAAGTAACTATGGATGAAGTCTGTTTGTCCTTGTTGTATTTAATAGGTTGCAGTCCTTTAGTTTCTTCAAGATCTGCTGCATATGCATTTAAAATGTTTAAGTTTTCTGCAGTGAACTGTGAACATTTCTAACAGCGAATTTTGAAGTCTCCAAAATGATGATGGGACCGCACAATGATGATTCCACCTGGATTGTGTAATGCCACTAAACTGATAAACATCATGCAAAGATCAGTTGTTGGCTATAAACTGCTCAGGGCGATTTCAAGACAGCTAGGTAAGATGGTGCAGCCTCAGACTACTCCAGCCAGGACTCCAGAGAAGCCCTGCCTTATCCCAGCACACCAAGACCGGACAACAACTAGCTCCTCTAGAACTTCACCATCATCCTAATTTTCTTAGAGTCCCCCAAATATTCTGTCTCCCACAGACAACAGGAAGTCATTTTAAGAACACAATGCCCACATTCCCAAGAGGTGGGGTGGATGCTTTTTGATCACTAGGTGGATTATTGATGCTTATCCTTGTTTAAAGAGGGTCAGTTACAAGTTATTGGTCATGGTCAGGGAGGAAACTAGGCAAGGTTAGATTCAAGATCTCTTTCTGAAAAGAAAAAAGGGGGATATAGAAATGCTAGGATAAAAGGGCAGATTATTGAATCTACTTTAAGCTAAAAAGCAACTATTAATCACAAATATTTTACACTGGTATGGATTTTTGTATATTGATCTAAATTTAAGGTAGGTTTTTTTTGTTAGAACATACTCTCTATATATTGTTTCAGATATTTTGCATAATGATATGAATTTAAGATTATTTTTGTTATACAGTATATACATTTCTACTCTTGTTAAGGTATTTTTGTTATGTTGATAAAAATTTAAGATCATTTTTGTTATACTGTATTTTATGTTTCTATTTCTTGTTTCAGGTATTGTAACTATGCAGCTCATTTAAAATTGTGATGTAAAGTTCTAGAACTTGAAATCTATTTAACATAATAAAGAAACACTGGTTGGTAGTTAGTCATCCATAACAATCAAATTTATAATTCTGTTAGGTCAATCAGAAGCATATTTTAAATAATAGATTATTGTTAAACACTTCAGACACCTACAGAATATGCCATTTTAATGTTTTAATAACTGGGGCTTTTCATGACAGTGATATCTGTCTGTGTCTGCTCCTGGCAGCACCAAAGAGCATGATGGGCACTGAAAACTCCAATGGAGTTGGCTTTCATTGTGTCAAAGTTAGCCATGGGGCAAAGAAACTACTCCCGCCTCAACTGTGGACAGTATGCTGCCCAAAACGGACAAGCAAGACACAAAAGGAGGCAACTTACAAATTTTGCCAATACAAATGGGCCAGTTCTTTAAAATTCCTACTTCACAGAAAAGTCTGTCGGATATTCTAGGCCTGTAGGCCAAAGACAGATGTTCTAATGTTGCAGAGGAATCTTGGGTTCACACAGCCAGATATCTCTTTCATTTCTCATAGCTTTGGAAGTTGCTTGCCCTACACTTCCTATTTATTCAGTAATAGTATATCCTTCTTGGGTTTTTGATGGCGTTGAAGATCAGATAGCTATCACTATAGTTTTACTTAGTCATGCTGGAAAGTAAACTAGGTTCAACATTTTGGACTTACCAAGAGATGATGGATAACAGAGTATTGTGAATGTAGTTCTTATTGATAATTGTTATTATTGCCTATAGTTTCATTTGTTAAAGTTAATATCTTTCCATTCTATTTAGACAATACCTGACAACTGTTCTTTTATTTTTCTTCCAAAACAGCATTTCTTTATGTAGCTTTGGAGCCTGTCCTGGAACTCACTCTGTAGACCAGGCTGGCCTTGAACTCACAGAGCTCCACCTGCCTCTGTCTCCTGAGTGCTGGGATTAAAGGCCGCCATCTCCCAGCCTGGTAATTGTTCTTACTGTATATAGTTTTACTATGATAGAGTTAAAACCTTTCCTTTTTATTTAGACAAAAAGGGGGAAGGGGTGTTGGAGGAGATCTGTTTGTGTTGATTGCTCTGAGGCCACCAATGGTGTCTGACCTTGATTCGGAGAGTGGAGTCCTCATTCTGTTGGTTAGTGTGGACCATAGAGTTTCCTGGTGGCCTCAGAGGACAGGAGGACACACAGGAAGGTGGGAGGCAGAGGTTGTGTGGTCCTTTCGATCTGGAAAGTAGAGAGAGGCAGGGTCCTTTCCCAGTTGCTCTGTGGATCTCTCAGGTTTTACTTTTAATAAAATGATAAAGGAAATTGCTGTACAGATCTGATTGTGTCTGACACCTAGGATAGTGATAGCTTTGCCAGTCTAACAGCTCCTTCCCCACAAGGTTACAACATTGTTAACAACACAGGCTGGTTTGCCTTGTTCATGGGCTTTATGGTAAAGGATAATCAGGCTTCAGATACAACTTACCGCTAAAGGAACACAGGAAATTACTTAAGATGTAAAAATGCAAGTTGTAAAGGAATAAGTAAATGATTTAGGGTGTGTAAAGAATTAGTCATAGAGACTATGGAGGACCGAGGATATGGATAACGTGCACAGGAAGGAGTAGGGAGGGACTTGAGGAGTCATGGGCTTTCTGTTGAACCCTTTATGGTCTGGGAAGTGCGGAGAGGTCAGCTGGTCACTCCTCTGCTGCTTCTTTGATTTGTCAAGTTTTCACTACAATATCTGACTCCCAAGTCTTTATTGGTCATAGAACAAGTTAGACATACACAACACTTTTCCTTTGCTGCAGGGCTGCAGGGCTGGCTCCACAGTGGATCACTGCCTGGATCTAAACTTCCATCCCCATGACTAGGGAGCAAGCCATGTCTCCTGCCCTCTTTTAGAAAATTCTAACTTCTAATCATTCTGGGAATTTTAAAGGGAGATATTTGTGGGGTGTGTGTGTGTGTGTGTGTGTGTGTGTGTGTGTGTGTTGCCTGCATGTGTGTCTGGTCTTCTCGGGGTCCTGAAGAGAATAGATACATCCCTTGAAACTGATGTTACAGGTGGCTATGAACTGCCCAGTGTGGGTGCTGAGAACTAAAGTAGTCCCCTGAAAGAACAAAAGTACTCCTAACCACTGGACCCCCCTAAAACTTATTTTTAAAGTTTATTTAAAGCAGGCATTTACAAAGAATTCATGTGAAAGTCAAAATATAACAGTATTTTTGGCAAGTGATAGTCAAAATATCTAAGTCAGAATTGGAAACTCTCATCTATTCCCAGAAGTTTGCTCTTCACTGGGGCCCAGAATTGATGCTAGAACTGATGCAATCTGAATTAAGTGCGGCAAATGTTTACCAAGCCCTGTGTCCCGAAGGGCAGTTCTTCAGAAATGACGCCGGCTGGGGCTGCCATGAGAGTTCAGTTCATAGCCGGAGCAGTGCTGACAAACACACTTTGAAATACCATTTTCTTTTCCAGTAAAAAGCCGTGAAACCTAAATACCTTATCACCGTATGCAAAAAGGGTTTAATTTCCTATTTACTCTGCTTCCCTGAGAGCCACAGCACAGACAGGAAGTTCAAGCCTCTGGGCCATGTTTATAACAGAAAGAAAATATGGATGAAGCTGGGCGCTTGATCAAGGAGGAGTCCAAGAGATCAGACTGTTAACGACTTCAGCCCGTCCTTCTCTACTCAACCCCGTACCTGGAAAGGCTGATAACGCGATTGCGATTGTGTGAGCTGCGCCACCATCCCCAGGGCTAGAATCAGGTCTTTGCAAGCATGTGACCTATATTATGGGAAGTCAGCTCGGGAGAGATGAGTCAGAAGGTTTAAAAGTTTAGAACTTTCGCCTCGAACAAAGGCCGCCTTTATTTCTCTCTACTGTTCCGTGTTCTGTTCTTCACAACAACAGCTATAAAGTCCAGGAATCTGTATCGTTTCCTGAGAGCAAACCACTGTGCAGCATCTGAAATCACACAGCCAACACTGATTAAGGGACCAAGAGGAAGATCTGGGCAGGGATGCAATAGCTCCATATCTTTATAACTGTGGTCGCAAGAATTACGTGTGCGATAAGGTGGCGTATTAATATACATATTCTGCCAGGGTCAATTTCCTGTTTTGAAACTACAGGCACGAGTAACGTGGGAAGCGGGTCCTTCTGTAATGTCTTTGCAGCTGTAATTCTGTGTTTATTCGAAATAAAATGGCTTTAAAAGTTTATTTCGTGTACCTCCACATTTCTCTGAACAGTTTGTATTAAGAGCAAAGAAGGAAAAATAAAAGAGCAGTGATTTTTCAAACGTGAGGTTTTCAGCCACAAACCCCAAGGGAGGCAACTGGAGGCTGGGAGTGTTCTGGCTCTCGGCACTGTAAACATGTAGCGTTAGAATCCAGGCCTGACTCTCATGAACAAAACTGCCCCCATTCCCAAGGTTGGTTCCTTGTCATCTTTCAAGAGACACCCAAGATCACATCCTTATTTACAGAAGCCTTCCGGGTTCTTTCTATTAACAAAAGTGGATTCTCTATGCTGTCGCTTGGCAACACCCTTAGCTTGTTTGTTTGTGGTATAATACAAACTTCACCACGGTTGGCACTGTGTCCACCAACTGGGAGGACCGCCAGCTAGAGGCCAGATACTTCATAAATTAGTTTTGTTTGAAAAAAAGTAAATGCACCTCCCGGGAACCCGTCTGCTTTGGGGAGAGGACGGTGGTGTGGGCTCCTTCCTTTCACACCACCTACTCTGTGCCCCAGGCTGGCCTCAGCACCCCGTACACGAGGGCACTCCTTCCTCTCTGATGCCTGGGACTGCAGGGGGCCTTGCTCTAGAACCGCCCTGCCCCCCCCCGCACCTCCTCCTGGGATCACCATACGGGAAGCTGGGGCGAGACCTTGGAGGGGTCCTAAGCATTCCAGCCCCCCTTTCCCAGACTCTTCCTCTCCGACAACGCCCTTCAGGTCACGCCCCCTCAGGCCACGCCCGAGAGAGGGCGGGGGAAGGGCGTGTCCTCTCCATTTCCGGGCGCCTATTGGGAGGATCTCCAGCGGGAGGCGGAGCTGCATCCGGAGCTCGAGAGGCGTCGTTGCTAACGGCTTTCTGAGGCTCCGGCTTTCGGGACTAACATGGTGAAGAGCGACTCCGACTCAAGCAATATGTCTGAGAAACGACCTTCCGACCACGTCGTGACTCAGCGGCTCCCCGTGTCCTTCAGGGGTGAGTCCCTCGTCTCTGGCACAGCCGCCCTGAGCCAGCCGCCGGGTATCGAACCCCCAACCCGCTGTCCACCGGGTTCCGAAAGGCGCGTCTCCCCTGTACTGTGTGCATTCCTCAGAAACGCGCTCTTCTCCTTTACCCCTGGTTCCTCGGGCTGGGAGATAATAGTTTCCCGGTGCTGGGACGCAACCTGTATGGCAACCAAGAGGGCGCACCGTTGGCAGGGTCGTGTGTCCATTGCTCAGGACCCTGGCAGGCAGGGAGAGACTCGCTTATCCTTCGGGTCCTAGATGCCACGTCAGGTGCCAGCGCTTCCTTATCTTGCGCCATGCACGCGGACCAGAGCAATCCCTGGCAGTTGTGGTAGAGGCGATTCTCCCGCGGGTTCAGCCTCTCCCATTCTCCTTTCCTTCCTGCCCCAGCGCTTCATAAGTGAAGCTTCCCATGCAATGATCCCCACGCCTATGGACCAGGGAAGAACTCCCACCCTCTTCCCTCCATCCCCTTTCCTAAGAAAGGGCTAGGCTTCAGCCTCCTTTCCTTCCAGCTCCATTGTCTGCCTCATTCCATCCCCGTTTGTCTTAGAGATCTCGCTTTCCAGGTAAATAGCCCGCTGTTCAACACCCTACTGGGGCCTTCCTGGTCTTGAAGGCTAGAACTGTAAGAGGCCGCATCCTATCCCCTCTGAAGATATTAGAATCCTTGAAAGAACTATCTACTTGAGCCTTTAAATTGGACAACTCCTTGGGGTCGGGAGATGCCCAGTAAGAGATAACAAACCTCACAGGAGTTCTGCTCTGCTCTCAGGAGCTTTACTGATCCAAAGGAATTATTTCTAAAGATGGATTTTCAGAGAGGATGGCACAGTGGGAGAGATTTAGGAGGCTGAGTGGGCTTTTCCAGCAGAGAACGCTGTCATCCGTGCGGATTATCTGCTAAATCAGCCTGTCTTCCCATCTAAATCCCGTCCCCTAAGCCAGGAACACCTCCTTCAATTCTTTCTCAGGAGTATCACAAGAATTTCAGACGGCACCGGGCAGGAGTTCCTGGGTTCCATTCTCAGTATCAGACATAAAAGCATGTGTGTGTGTGAAGCTTGCTCCATGCTTTACTTCCCAAATTGGGAATATAGTAAAATTAAAGAGAATGATAGCAAAACAAAAAACACACTTAGTAGGCAAAGGCACTAGACTTTATGAACGTTATTTTATTGAATCCCCACAGCTGATACTCAGAGAGATTACCTTAGCCACACAGGGTTAGTGGGACCATACTTTAAATTTGTATTTTAGTGATTCCAAAACTTAAACAGGCCACTGTCTAGCGGTCTGGGCCCCCCTAGAGCGCGGGTGTGCTGGCCGACTCTGTCGGCGCCCACCTACCACAGAGGGAAGGCATCTGGAGCAGCATCCTGGGAACAAGCATGGTCTCTGCATTTCAAGATCGGTCCATTTTCTCGGTCATAGACCAGTTTGTTGTTTAGTTCTAACTCCCTTTTCTTAGTGCTACATTTATCTGTTTTAGACAGAAATATTTTAGAACTGGTGAAAATGGATGTGTTCTGTCTGAAGCATATACTCAAATAAAATTTTGCTTGGTTTTTGTCACTTCCGATTTTAAAACCTTTCCACTTATTTAGCGTGTGTGTGGCTGGCTTGTGGAAGTTGGAAGGTAACTTGCAAGAATCAATCTCCCCTTCCACCATGTGGGATCCAGGGTCAAATCCAGGCCGTCCTTGCAGACAGCCAGCGCCTTTGCATGTTGTGACAGCTCACCTTCCTGCTTTCTAGTTCTTTGTTTTTAATTTTGAGCCTCAGTGGTTTGACATTAGGAAAAAAATTATTACTATAAGGTATTTAATAGAGTTTCCCAAATGTGTCATGTGCCAAACTTAGCTAGATGCTTTCTTGATAAACATCCAATTGCAACCCTGCCAATAAAGCCAATGTCTTTATTCCCCCCGTCTTTCAGTCCAGGCTGAGAGCTGAAGGATAAAAGTACAGCCCAAAGGATTCAGAACTAAGTTTCCAACCCAGGCTCTGACTATCTGAGCCATTTTCCTGATCCTACGGCTAGCTGTCTGTAAAGCAGGTGCCAAAGTATAGTCTGGTTCAACTTGAGGACTTCATGGGGTAAGAAGCAACAAAGGAAGGAAGCCCAGGGGAGCCCAGCGTGAATCAGTCACTCTGGATAAAGTCACTCAGAGGACTCTGCTGATGGCTGCAGTGCAATTACAAAGCCCAGCTCTGCCTCATTGGCCTTGTAGGGAATTAGTCCTAGAAACACATATACCAAACCTAGGAGGAACCAAGGCAGTTTACCTAAAGCCAGCGCATTCAGTAATGGAACAGTGTGGGTGGCTTGCGAAGGCCTGTGTTGTCGTAACGGAGAGCCTTGTCAACAGATAAGTCCCTTTGGGAGGATCTCTTGGAAATAAGCAGAATCATGGGACGGATCTGTTTATTTCTCTTGTTCCAGTTGATCAGATTGGGGAGAACTTTAAGTTAATAATTGACCTGAGCTAAACTATCAGTGGTAATAAATGAACTCAACTGAAGACCAAGACTACGGAAGCTGTTGTGTATATGTTGTTTATGGGTAAATAGATTTCCGTGTCCCTGAATAGTCTAACACTGTAGAAGATAAAGTAACTGTCTGCTCTGCTTTTAAGACATTTTAAGTGAAATTTTGATGAAGTGGCTCAGAAGGGACTAAAGGTGAGGTTTAAAGAGGCCACAGAGAAGCAGCTTCCTGTAATCTGTGTCAGCCGAAGGTTCTGGACATACTTCTGACATAACATTTATTGTATGGTATTGAAGTTTGTCGGATGGATTGATCTGTTACCATCTCCTTTTTAACCTTACTGTAAAAACTCAGTATGAGCTGGGCGGTGGTGGCACATGCCATAATCCCAGCACTCAGGAGGCAGAAGCAGGTGGATCTCTGAGTTTGAGGCCAGCCTGGTTCACATAGTAAGTTCCAGAACAGCCAGGGCTACACAGAGAAAGCCTGTTTTAAGGTGAGGGGGGAACCAAAATAAAAAAAAAACTTCAGTATAAAGTACACAGTAATTGAATAACATGTTGAAAGAAAAGGAAGTGGAAGGGAGTAAATAATCTTATCAATGTTGATGGACAGCTTATTTTATTGTTCATTGATTTTAGGATAGTGTATCTTCTTCCTATAGACAGACTACTTATCTAGGTTTGCATTAACAAGAAAGGAACTGTAATTGGCAAGAAAGGATATTGTGCCTAGTAAGAATCCTTACTTATGAAAACAGAAGTTGCAGATCAGGAATTCTTACTATACACCTGTTCTTTCTTTTTCCGGCCTCTGCCCACTTTCTGGAACTCTAAAGAAACTTGAACCTCAAGCTTTTGTTTGCTATTTTATTAAGTGGAGCCTTGCAAATGCAACCAGGAAAATGCCTTCAAGTATAAGACAATAAAAATGACGCCAAATGTGTTGTCCACTGGAGTGAGCACTCGTGAGACAATAGCATAGTGTACTGAGTGAGCAGCGTTAGAGTAGAGACGGGGTTGT